TATTTTTTGGTAATCTATCTGAGGAAGAATTTATGACATACCTTTTTGAAACAATCTGTATAAAAAGAGGACTGTGAGTCGTAGATCAAATATTCAATATGATCTAGCCTAGAAATTGTCTAATAATGTCACATACTTTGATTGCTATACGGTGCAAGAGAGAGGTCCGACACGCCTAACATAGGGCGCAGCCATTTTGATTTCTTTGCAACAGTTTATAGCTAAAGAATCAGATCGTTCGCTCTGCGTCGGCAATTTTGATCTCAATGTTCCAGTTTATACACTGCGCAACTCGGATAATACAATATATGACAACCGCCTATAATAAAACAGTAGTCTTCTGCGTATCCTGAATTTGTATCCCTGGAGTGGATGTTATTTTGGAACTTTCAACTGATCCGAGTGAGCTAACTGATTCTTTAGCAATAAACTTTGACTCCAAAAATAATATTCACTGACACTGACAGCAGCAAGCAAAATATCAGATGCGTTTTAATCATCCGCTTCTGCTTCCGGAATTGTTGGTTTAATCGTTTTAACCTGTCAGATTAAAACAAGAAAACCGACAATTCCGAAGCAGAAGCGGATGATTAAAACGCACCTATTAAAAATATTGCGCCAAGATGTAGGCAACACGTAATAAGGGATCAAAATGACGGAGTTTTCTATCTCCTTTTAAAAGTCACTCAGAAAGCTGCGCAGTGCGACCATTCTCCGTATAGTAAAAGAAAATCAAAGTATGTGAATAATGTGGAAAAAATCCTTAAAACCCAAAACAAAGGGACTTAATATTGAATCAGAAGCACAGTTTAAAATAGAAGGTCGTAAATTTTATCTTGTTGCTTGCTCCCTTTTTTACCCCTTCTCGGTCCTTCTTATCACCCTATGTCGCCCCCTCTTCTCAGTTCCTATCTTCTTCACAAACTTTTCGATTTATTACACCCATATTGTACTTCTGTGCCCACATTAGGCATCCTTTTACTATGTTGCTTCCCTCCTCTCCCTCATTCTCTCCACATCACCCTCTTTTCTCACATTCTTATCACCCCAATAGCTCATAGAACTGGTTCCTGGTAGTATTTTAATTTGTTATTTTATCAGATAGTTTCTCCTTGAAGATACCAGGAATTGGTTCTATTAACTTCCCTTCCCCTTTCCCTTCAACTTTCCCACTAAAATTTACGACCTTCCTTTTTAACATGTGCTTCTGATTCAACATTAATTCCCTTTGTTTGGGTATTTTATACTTTTTTTTTCTCAATTACAACATTATCAGAAAATTTCTGGACTAGAACATTTTGGACATTTGATCTAGGACTCACTTTGCTCTTTTTTATGCAACAATTCTCTTGACCTGATGAATGCCAATAGAGGCCGAAACTAAAACGCCGTTTAACAAAAATAAGATTTTGTGGTAAATGGCTTGGAGTTTTCTTTCCCCATAATGAATGTCATTTATACTTTTTGTATATAATTGTGATTAATTTATATTTATTTTTTAAACTTCAAATTTCAAATTAGATTCATCACATTTCTCCCCCTTTAATTTTACTTTGTCTTTTAACTCTAAACTATACTTGAGGTTTTATTTGAAAGACTAAGGGCTTATGCCCTAATTGTCTCCAACATTGGGTTTTTCTGTAAATTTTTACTTGTCCTAGATTTGTTACTTTGTTAATGGTAATTGTTTTATTAATTTCAAAAAAATAATTTTGTGACTCAAATTTCTTGTTCATATTTTATGTTCACATCTTTTTTTACATCATCAGTACATATTTACACCCACAATTATTGTAGATAAGCACTCAAGATGGCGTTAGGCCGGAAGCGTTTTGCATTTTTTTAATAAAACAATTTTGCTAAATCTAAGCTAACGTGCATACATCCGATAACCTCTTTTAGTTCCCTTAAAAGAGAAGAGATATCAACGTGGCCCTTGTCTCATTGTCAGCCGGTATATTCTTTTTTTTTTTAATGAATTCTTATAGTTCACTAGTAGAATCTAGCGTAAGATAGTGTATAACTGCATAATTAGGGACTTTTAAAACAACCCTCACTACTTTACAAAAAGCGGAAATATCCTTTCAAAAATAATTTTAAAGAATAATAAGTTATATTCAACCAATCTATTGTACAAACAAAAATATCACCTGCAGCCTACATAGGAACTAGATTGCAGTTAATTTAAATATAAAAACTGAAATCTTTAAAACATATGCTACTAAAAATTTATATTTTTATTACGCACAAGATTATATTGAGTGATCCTAAAAAAAAAAAATTTTCTAAAGTAGGCCTTGGAAAAATTCACGCATATCGCAGCGTACAATTCTTCTTTCTTTTAAGTGTCATTTGTAGTTATCACAGACATGACTAGTATCTCTGTCTTCGTTGGTTATAGCTTACTTTAGAAATATTTTTTGTCGATCAATATTTTACCACAAAAAATTATAACAAATAAAAAATTATAAATCCGTTAGAAATTTTAGAAGTGATTTTTTTTTTCTTACTTTAAACCGGTTTAAAATATTTTTATGAAAATGAACATGGGATGTTAGTATACAGTGATCAATAAATTGAAGTTAATGACATTTAAAATTGTTTTAATACTATAGGTTTTTAGAAGGACTCCGCACACCTTTTACCTCTTTACTGTTTTAGTCAACGAAATTCAGTTAAAATCAGGCTCCCATTAGATCCTAAATCTGTTTTAAAAATTTTTTGCCCCCTAATATTTGTTTGCGGAAGCCCTGGAAATGTCAAAGTGAAAAATACTTAAATCTCTGAATATCCATTCACGATTTTTTTTAATACTTAACATTTTCATATAATATGGTCTAGAATACAAAGAAATAATTATTGTAAATGAAGTTGTAAAATACCGTAAAGCGGGGTTATTCTAGACTTTTTCGGACCTTTTTGGATGTACCATAAAAAGCGTCCAAGAATAAATAAGTTTCATATCGAGTTTGGATAGGTCTACATACAAGCTAATATTACCATGATAAAAAAAATACGACAGCCTTTTATAGGGGGTCCTAAAAAAATTTTTGAAGGTCTGTCCAAAATAACCCCATAGAGCGGGGATATTTTGGACTTGGCAAAAATAACAAAGAATATGAAGTTAAACAGATCAAGGGACTTTTTTAGATATAAAAAGATATATCTACCTGAGTATTTTTTCATTTAGGGATGAAAAAACTTCTAAAAAACACAAAATATTAGTTTTATTGATTTTATTACAAAAAAATCGAGAACATGAGTACAAATTCTAAAAAACAACGTAAACTTAAATTAAATTTGGTTTCTTCAGCCTTTTAACATAATTCGGCACTTAACTAGGAAGTACCTGCGTAGTAAATATAGGATATTATTGGCAATTATGAGATGATAAATTTTCACTAAATTTAAACAATACTTTTGTTCCTGTGCCATTTATTTTTGGACTCAGGAGTATTTTTTTTTATATGTTCTTCAAGAACATCGTCTATATCTTTTACATCTGGTGTTAGGAATCGTTCTGCCTTAGAGGATTTTTTAAAAAATCTACCGTGTAGGAGCACTCTGAATTGGTTTTTGAAATTGAAACTATTTTCCTAACGAAGTAGCATGGTACATTTTTTCTTTTATATTCTACCAATACCCAGTCATTTACAGTCGGTTTCTTAAGTTCAATTGAAAAATTTGCAGGTGGCAAGTTTTCTTTGAAGTGTATCAATGGCATATCATCATCACTGCTACTGCTATTTGGTGATTGATTCCAGGATTTCGAGAATGTTGGAAAGTCATCGGGTTCATATGGTACATCAGGTTCGTCAGAAGAAGACGATAATGGTATCGCTGTTTCCTTTTTTTTAGCAACTGTTTTTTTTTTGGAATCGCACTAGTTGAAGCAACATCAGTGGCTGACACACTCTTTCCAGGCTCTACTAAAACTCTCTTGCGTCTCTGTTTTTGTTGTGATGGTGTTTCTGTGCTATGACGCATTTCTTTCAAAATATCAAACACAGCATTAAAAACAACATTATGTATACCTTCGGTATCTGCTGCTTCAGGTTCAGTTGGAAGTCGTTGCTTTGGCTCAACAGGATCGAATGGATGTAGACCAGTTTTACGGAAACCCGAGATGAGATTTTCAGAGGCTTTACCATTTTCATCCAATTTTTGACAAAGTTTATTTAGTAGCTGCGGAAATACATCTTTTGATAACGTAGACATTTTATGCCCATCTGTTTTCTTCCATTCAGTAAGTATCGTTCGCCAATACTTCTTTAGAGGAGCGTAGAATGCCACATCAAGGGGTTGCATCAGATGAGTTAAGTTAAGGGGTAGGCAGATAAATGATATGTTCATTTCTTGGCATGTTTGTTATACTTTCTGTGAAAAATGTGAGGATAGGTTGTTGCCAACTAAAATCTGCAATAAAAAAAATGGGGATTATTATTAAAATAGCAAAATCTTCAATCCCTAGATTATAAACAAACCTTAATAAGGGACAACAATGCTATAAAACCAATCTTTAAAGAAGATGGCATCAAACCAGCCACTTCGAGACCGATTGTAACGCGCTCCTGCAGGTCCACTGTCAGTCCAACTATCCCACATATGATCTGCCTTGTAGACTACATATTTAGGCAAAAGTTGTCTATCTGCAATTCCAGCATGCTTATGTCAGTCTTCGTGGAGTTGACTACCCTTTCAGGGTACTTGGTGCCTCTCTTGAATATACATTTTTTTTGCCCATGGGTTGTCAGTCAGGTTGGTTTTGTCTAAATGTATTATTAGAGACGGGTCTGTGGTATTTAACATATCTCGGGCATTGTCAAAGAAAATGTCCAAATTTTGCCTATTTACCATCGCACATTTGGTAGAGATTGCGGCCTTTTCTGTCAAGATAAGACTTGATTATTATCCTCAAATCAGCAATGTCAAACAGAAAGCCCCAGGAAGCAACCACGTTCAGATGTTCAACCAGCACTTTTTCTTCGTCGCTTGTTAAAATGCAAGGCCTTCCTGCTGTAGGAAAAGTGCTTTTTGTCGAAGCTCGTAAAGCTAGGGTAGACCTTGGCACCCTATATTTTTTAGAAGCTTTATCAAGGCTCAGACGATTATACTGAATATCACGTATGGCGTTTTGGAAGGCTTCTTCCGTATAGTTTCTGTACGGGGTATAGTTTTTACCATTTCGTGAATGGGTTAAAGTTTTTACGTAACTGCAAACCATTTTTATTTTAGGGACCAGAAGAGATTTTTAGCTTAAAAAAGCAAATTTTTTGGTTATTTTAGAAAATGGGGCTATTTTGGAAACGCGGGGCTATTTTGGACGAATAAAAAAAATTTCGTCCAAAATTGCCCCGCTCACCGAAAAGCCCCATAGTTTTTTAAAATATATATTGTCCTTAAAATACGTATTATTTCTGAGTAACAACACTCACACAAACTTTTTTGCAAAGCCATAGTTGCATTCAGTAATTTTTACTAGTATGCAGTAGTGAAAGTTTGACCATATTTATTTTCTTGCGAAAAAAACGCATGTGGTTTACCGGCGCCTAGATCTACTAAACTTACCTCTACCATCCCGCAACAAGTACTGACTGGCTTTTCGCGGTCTTCTCTGAGAACCCTCCAACGTTCGTTGGCGTCGCACACCATGATTACACATCGTTGTCAGATTGAATAGGAAAAACACAATTTCCAAAATTACCCCGCATTTCTAAAATAACCCCGCTATACGGTAGTAAAAAAAAATCGTTAATAAATATTCAGTGATTTATGATCAATAGCACAATTCATTATGAGTATTTTTCATTATGACCTTCTTTTAGGGGCCTATAACTTAATAATTAAGGTTTTTACAAACAAATACTATGATGTAAAAAAAATTAAAAACAGATATAGAATTTGAGTCGCGTCCTGTTATTAACTGAATTTTATTATCTAAAAAAGTAGGGGGTAAAAGGTGTGCTGAACCCGTCTAAAAACCTGTAGAATTAAAACAATTTTAAACGTCACAAACTTCATTTTATTGGTCACTGTATACCAACATCCCATGTATGTATCAATAAAATATTTTAAATCGTTTTAGAATAACTGTGGTTAAATATACCCTGTATGTAAATGAAATATATTTCTTTATCTCTAATTTAAAATAAATTATAACATATAATATTATCTGTATACTGTTTTTCAGGATAACGCTCACTATAAATTTGAATATGGAGTTCATGATCCCCATACCCATGATCACAAATCTCAACACGAACATAGACATGGTCATGATGTTCATGGAGGATACACACTGAAAGAAGCCGACGGTACCCACAGAATTGTCAAGTACACATCTTCTCCCCACAATGGATTCGAAGCAGTAGTTGAAAGAAGGGGTCACGCTCAGCATCCTGCCCATTACGGACATGGACACGGTGGTCATGGTCATGGTCATGGACATGGTGGACAAGGGGGTACCAGCTATGTTGGTGTTACACACTGGGCTAACCAAGGTAGCGAAGAAGGACATGGACATGGACATCATTAAATATTGTTGATTTATGTTTTTTGTTATGTTAATATCCAAAGAAATAAGAAAATAAAATTATTGTTTTGAAAAGCTTCTTTGATTTTAATAAAACTCTTGAAGTATTGTCATATTACTAAAAAACTTTATTTCATACAATTCACAATACTGAACGATATATAGTTTTAAAAACTAACCGAAATAAGTGTAAAAAGTGAATTTGCAAGTATTTATATACCAAAATAAACTTTTCAAATATTCTAGCATAATGTCATTAGTGTTCTAGACTTTTTCAGAGTGTTCTATCACTTTTCATTTTATTTACTAATAGATTGTATTAATTTAAAAATCTGATGTGAGCAACACATGACTTTCCTATCTAGTTATTATAGGATTTTTCCGGTTATTTTGTATAACCTATTGCAGCATCTCTATAAATGTTTAGAGGATAAACTAAATATATACATTGTCCACATACATCTACCTCGAAACATTTTTCTATAGATATTCATTGAAAACGAAAATACTAAAAAATTTAAATTTTCTACAATTTTTTCATTACGGTCCATTTTAGAAAAATCATGTATGAACAAAAATTATAGAGATTGATATTGCAAACAACTTTTAGTTCAACAATTTTCATAAAAATCAGAATTTTGCACATTTTGTCAATTTTCGCGAATACGGACCATTTCAGGAAATTTTGACATAAAAAAAAATTATAATAATTTTAGAAGTAACTTTTATTAAAACAATTTTTTTCTCCATACATAAATAACAGATATATTCCATAAAATATAAAAACGGCCCCCCATAAAGTACCCCCCCAGATGTTCCGACTTTGTCCAAAATCTAATCATTTCACGTCAGGCTGAAATAAAACTTAAGTTTAAAATTTAATGTGTTTTTATCCGTTTTTGAGTTTTCTTCAAATTTCAAAATTTACAATTTTCTCAAATTTCTCGAATACGGTCCATTTTATAGAAATTATGTATAGAATAAAAAATAATAGAAAATTATATTACAAACAACTTTTATTTAAAGAATGTTCTTCCCCAAATATAAATAACAGATATATTCCATAAAATATAAAAATGAACACCTATAGAGTACCCCCCAGATGTTCCGACTCTGCTCAAAATTTAATCTGTTCATTGGACGCTGGAACAAAGCTTAAGTTTAAAATTTGGTGTTTTTCTGTGTATCGGTTCATGAGTTATGCGACACACAGACACACACACACACACACACACACACACACACACACACACACACACACACACACACACACACACACACACACACACACACACATACACACACACACACACACAGACACACACACACAGACACACACACACACACACACACACACACACACACACACACACACACACACACACACACACACACACACACACACACACACACACACACAACACACACACACACACACACACACACACAGACACAGACATCATCGCGAAAATAGTCAAAATGGATTCAGGGGACCTCAAAACGTAAAAATCCGTCGAAAACTCGAGGTCGAAAAAAATCATGATTCCTATACTTTCCTTATATCTGTATACAGATAGGAAAGTAAAAATTACCCAAAATATATGTCAAAAGTGAACTTTTCATACATTCCAGCATAATATTAATGTCATTAGTGTTTTGGACTCTTTTAGAAAGAATCGTTTTTCTTTTTAGTTACTTATTATAAAGTCTAGAGAAGAAATCAGTTCAGTACTTTAATTTGCAGAACGTAGTACAGGTTCAACAGGAAGGAATTTTATTTATACCTCATCCTTCAGTGCTTATTTATAATTAAAATGAAAGTTTTAATACATATGATCGGCATAATAAAAGTTTTCGTTAGATTTAATCATGTTTTCATGGTTTTTACTGTAATAAATATTTTTTTTGACAGATAAGTAAGACTTTATTTATTCATAGCCGGATCGTATGTATTTTAATTAATGAATGAATTTTGTATTAGTATATAGTATAATTTTACAGTCATAAAAGAATGGCGAGTGCATTGAGCATTAATATTAGAAGAAGAAAATATCGTACTGAATATATTTAATAATCTTCAAAAAGACTTTGTTTCACTTTCTGAAGATGAAATAATCATTAAATATTAGACCTATACTGGAGTATCTAAGCGAAAAGTGTACAACATTATTAAAGAAGATACAATTATTATTGGAGAAGTCTCACATCCAAAAAAGCCCCCAGGAAACTTGGGTAAAGAATGTAATGATATATTCTTTCCAAATTAAATTCTTACACTTAAAAAATTACACTCAAAAATAGAAAATAGCCCCTCTTAAAAATATATCTGCAAAAAATATTACAAGAATTAAGTTTTTGTTACAAAACCATGATAAAAACAGCTTTTTAACAGAGAAAAACGAAATCATTGCGTGGAGATATGATTATTTAAGAAAACGCGGATGCAAGGAATCAGCATAAACAGGTATTTTATTTAGATGAAACATGGATTAATGCTGGACATACAGTTACAAAAATTTGGCAAGATACCTCCATAAAAACTAAAAAACAAGGGGTCTCTTGTGGATTAAAAATCCAACCGTAAAAGGAAATCGTTTAATAATAACCCACATTGGAAGCACCGATGGATTTTTGCCATATGATTTAGTCAAAGAAAACAAAAGAAATGGATGGCCCTATATTTGAAAATTGGTTTCAGAGATTATAAAAAAAATCAGTCAACTCCGTTATTGTTTTGAATAATGCATCATATCACAGTCGAGTCACTACATACAACAAGATGGATATTTCAAAATGGCTTCTTTCTAAAAATCTTATCAGTACTCCTAAATTTTTGAAGGCAGAATTACTCGTAATAGCAAGGAAACATAAAAACAAATTCAAAAAATATATAATAGACAAGATGGCCCTAGAAAAAGAAATTAAAATTCTCAGATTGCCTCCTTACCACGAAGAATTAAATCCCATTGAACTAATCTGATCACAATTAAAAGTCATGTTTCTCGAAACAATACAACATTTAAATTACCAGGATAGCTATTCACTAAGTCATGGGAGCGCTCCCATGGGAGTGCTCCCATATATTTTGCTCTCTTACTCTTAGGTGGGTATATTGTGCTTACTCACTTTTAGCCCAGGTACATGCGTAGTAAGGTCAGATTTTATACTATGGGAGGGAGAATTGCGGGCTTGCCAGATTAGGTCCGTATTTATCACAAAGCAAATTTGAACTACTAAGGGCCGATTCCACCGTTGAGTTAAACGGAGATTAAAATGACGTTGTTAATGTAAAAATGTCATTTTAAATTTCGTTTAACACAACGGTGGATCGGTCCTTAAATAGTAGATCAAAGTTATTCTATCGACTTGGCAACGTTGGCATGGGAGTATGGGAGCATGGGAGTGTGGGAGTGCTCCCATGAATTAGAGAATAGGTATCCTGATGTGCGAAATTTGTTTTTGAAGGCAGTTTGGAGAAAATGAATTGAAAATGTTATAAAGGTGGAAAATTCGTTTTGAAAAGTGGATATAGCAATGGAAAACTTAATAGACAATATACTAATAAATATCAGAAAAGACAATGATAATGATACCAGTAGTTATAGTGAAGACGGGTACATGCAAATTGGTTCCCATTTTAATACGGGTTTAAAGTAACATGTAAATAGGTTCCCAGCATGTTAATGAGGATCAGAAACGATATGTAAATTGGTTCCCAACATTTTGGGTTTACCTGGCTTTTGTGTAAATTGGTTCCAAGAAACAACATCTCGGGATTAAATTATCTGAATAATTAAAATAAATGAAATTAGACACAGTATTTGAAAATACGTTCAATACTATACAATATACATAACCCATACATTTTTAATATTACTTATACAAAAATTTGTGTACATAAAAAATAAAATCAATTATTTCAGTCATCAATAGCACAGTGAAATGGAACACATTTAATAAAACTTAATCGAATTATTTCATTTTTTGAGTACGATTCTATCATTTTTGTTATAAACTTTTGGCGGTTTTTAACTTTGTTATTGTGTATTTTAGCCGTGATATGGATGCCTTGCAATTTTACGTAAGTTTCCATTTGAAACTCTTTAAATTTTTCCAAAAAAATTAAAATGTTGGCATGACTTTATAAAAAGACGCATTAAAATGTTTGTGAAAAGATTCACATGCATTAGTTGTCCGTGTAAATAAAAAAAAAACAGTCGCTATGTCAGGACTTAAAAATTTCAGTCCAAAAGTCATACGTAACCAACTACCAATTTCTGAATTTTTATATTCCGATATCAGGCCGCATTGCTGAATTTTACTATACTACAATTGAGCAAGATAAAATGTGAAACCAATTATTTCTGCTGAGGGAAAAGCTTGATTAATAGCATTTGTGACGAAGTCACTAAATTTTGCTCTCAATTAGTTTAAAAATGTGTATTTCAATTAATTCCCGCCTGAGAACATGTAGAAGTTCCCCCGTTCCCACCGTTTTTCAACAATTGCGAGTACCCTCGTAGATTAAAATATTCTTATATTTGCCGAAATCTGAATGGGCATTTTGTAGAGTCGATTTCGTACCGATTATCTACATTTATTTGTCAAGGTATTAAAGGACATTTTTTTTATTTTTAAATTGTAAACAGTCGGCTGTAGTGGTCGTATCCCCCACTCGGGCTTACTGGTCTTCCATCTTGCTTTACCGAAAAGCATAAATTCAATCACATTTGGGAATTACATCCTCTCCTCTTGCTTGCCGGCCGCCGTAAGCTCTACTCTCTTTATTGCTGAAAACTATTCGCCCTTCTATAGTGCCTAGTAAATACTCCGTGAGTGCCGTGATTTCGAAAAGATTATTGAATAACCCCGTTTATCTTCTAAGGTAGGAACCGTATATTATTTTTTTTATTGACTTTTGTATAATTAGTTGGGACACCCGTGCGACAAGTGAAAAATTTTGATTCATTTCTAAGATATTTTATTTCATCCCTCAGTGGGAA